TCCATGCCTTCACAGGAGCTGACAATACAGGCAGATTTTCCCGAGTAGGAAAAGCAACATGGTTTCAGAAATACTTGAAAACGGATGATGATATTGTTAATGCTTTCCTTGTGCTGACTACAAGTGATGAACTCTGTGACCAAATAATTTCAACATTGGCCAGATTTGTATGCAGTGTTTACTGTCCAAAAGGCCTCTCTGTGACAGATATTCCAGAGCTCAGATGGTATCTCTTCTGCAAACATATGGCAGAGAGTGACAAGCTACCACCAACACTGGGTGCTCTAAAGCAGCACATTCTGAGGGTTCATATTCAAGCTTATGTGTGGGGTCAAGCCAATATCGCCCATCAGATCCAATTAGATCCACTTCAACATGGATTCCATAAGGACAAAGATAACCGGATCCAACCAACAACAATGGATGTTCTCCCAGCCCCCAAAGCTATTATTGAGATGTTGAGGTGTCAGTGTAGGAAAGACTGTTTGACCCAAAGATGTACATGTCGATCAAACAACTTGTCATGTACAGAACTCTGCCTCTGCACCTGAGTGTGTGGGAACGACGATGACACAAATATGTCAACTAATGATGGTGATGACAGCAATGACATGTTTGATGACTCTCTGTGAATATGATATCAAGACACATATCAAGAATTGTGACTTTATTATTCAAGACTTCAAGGGACCTATTTTGGTGTAAAGTGACTATGACAATTCTATGTGACATTTTGAAAATTTAAATGCCAAGGCATTGATACAGATGGCTCTTATGTTGCTGAGTTGCTGGAGAAACATATAACCATAGGTAATTATTGGATAAATGACAGTTTTTAAGGGGTCATATGATAATTAAGGTACAATATATTCTTAAACAATTTTACTTTGTGATAGACAGTTGTAACGTATAGGATTCTATCCACACTACTGATAATATTGCAAAATCCAACTAAGATATTAGAAAAGTTGAGGTAGTTTTTTGTTAAGAATGTGAAATCATTACCTTAAGCATGTCTAAATTACATATGAGTAAGCATAATATCACATATAAACAATTAAATGACAAAATAAACACCTCAGAAGCCTTAGACTTGACAAATATGGGCAAAAATGGCCGCCATCTTGAAATCCAAGATGGCCGCCAAATGAATGATGGGAAAATTTGGAAACATTGGTTTTCTTCATCTGTACATTGAAAGCTTTCAGAATATGTATAGTTTTGCTAATCTCCAATTTTTTTCAACAAAAGTACATAAGGAACTGGACTATTACATTAGATTGATATTGATCATGATAAAAAACTCAAAGTATCGGAAAACAGCCCATCTATTTTTTTTATCATGTTTAGATACATTTGAAATAATAGATCTAGTACTTTGTCTCAAAACTAGCAACAACGCTGTCAACAACCTGGTCAAGTAAACAGTAAAACATAAACACGATCAATTTGAACAAACAAATTGGATTAATGTCATGAGAGTTAGTTACTATATAGTATTTATTGTTCACTACACCAAACTTACCATCTGTTTAGTTTGGCCTCGATCATGTCTATGGATCGTTGTTGTTGTTGTTGTTGTTGTATTAGGTGTTTAAGAGGTCGCCTTAGGCAATTTCGGCTGATCTGTCCCTCTTTGGGACTCCTGTGTGTGAGAAGGGTTCACATATCTATTATGAGTTCGGTGTTCACATAATTTCTGTTTTTGCATTGATATGATTTCTATTTTCTTATATTGATATGATTTCATTTTTATCCTTGGGTGCTCTGTTTATATAGGTTCGAGCAGCTGTCCATCTCTCAGAAATAGAGTTAGTTTGGCTTCGCCATTGCATCTCTTGGCTTTAGGAGATCTATGACAGATAGCGGATCAAACTGCAATTCTTGTTTTAGCCTGGGCTGGGGCATGGTCTTGACATTCTAGTAACACGTGGTCAATGGTTTCAGTCTGATTGCAAGATGAACAAACCTTGTCATTGTGCTTTCTGTGACCAAGTCTGAGGCGTGAGATAGCAATTTCAATTTTCCTTTCATTTGAGTATGAGTTTGGCTTTTGTTGGACCTTGGGTTGAATTTTGTATAGCCATCTGCCGATCTTACTTGCGCCCCATTCGGCTTGCCATCTTTCTGCTATGGAGGCTTTGATTTTGATTTTTATCTCTAGTTTACTAAAGGGAATAGGCTGTATATCCGCTTTGTCTAGAGCTAGCTTCGCCAGTGAGTCTGCTTTTTCATTTCCATGAATATCTATGTGAGAGGGGATCCAACACAGCTCCACCTGTTGCCCTTGGTCCGATAGTTTTGTATATTCGTATAGAATATTGTTGACTGTGTTTGGCCTGGAGTTTGAGTTTCTGCCACTGATGGCCTGAAGTGCACTTAGCGAGTCTGATAGGACAACTGCCTTTGCTTCCGGGAGTTCCGGTATGAGTTTGAGTGCATGATGAATTGCCTCCAATTCAGCCGTGAATACTGACTGACCATCAGGCAAGCGAACTGAATGTGCTTGGGGTTTGGAGCTGTGGATATGGATCCCGTAACCAACACTGTTGTTGATAGGATTCTTGGATCCATCAGTGTATATATGGGCCCAGCTGTCCCAGGTAGTTTGAATTTTAGTGATAGCTACTGATCGTAGTAGGGTTGGGTTTTCTCTTTTAGTGGCTTCTGATGTTAAAGCAGTGTCAACTTTGGGAGTTTTTAAAGTCCAGGGAGGGTGTAACCCTTTGTAGTGACTTTATGGAGGCTGAATGTCATCGCAATTGTGACTTCGAATGAGTTCACGTACTAATATCCCAGATGGCTTTAGTGAGGGATTTTTACGAGCTAGGGCTTCATCTCGAGTGTTTTTGTCTTGCCATATCTTTTTAACCAAAGGGTTTGATGTTCGTCCCCAGAACGATAATATTGTCTGCTCTCTTCTTAGTTTCAATGGGAGTTCTCCCGTTTCTACTTGTAGTGCTTCTAGTGAGGTGCCTGTCGCTGCGCCTGTGGCTAGCATTAAGGCTTTGTATTGTATTCTGTCTAGGCGCCTCAAGACAGTATTTGATGCTGAAGGAAAAGCCTCACAACCATAGTCAATTTTTGATCTGATAAGAGCTTTGTAGAGGTCCAGCTGAGTGTCCCTCGATGTGCCCCAAGATGTGCCTGAAATTGCCCGTAATACGTTCAGGTTTTTTTTACATCTGTTTTCGACATATTCTATATGCTTGCGCCAAGTGAGGTGTTGATCAAGGATCATCCCAAGAAATATTGCAGATTTTTCGAATTTGATAGGTTTGCCTTTTATGGAGACACGGGGTATCATAGCATCTATCCCCCGGTGTTTGAATAGAACTCCAACAGTTTTTTCACTTGGAAGGGTGAATCCCCATTGCACCATTGATCTACTCCGTCCAGGGCTGACTGGAGTTTTTTTCTGATTTGTGAAATATCTCTGTGCTTTACCCATATTGCTCCGTCATCAGCGAACTTAGAAGTTTGGGTAGGAGAGTTGACATGGTCAAAAAGATCATTGATCATGATATTAAACAGGGTTTGGCTTATAATGCTGCCTTGTGGCATGCCATTGTCCAGTGCCATAGGATCCGATCAATTGTTCCCTATTTTAACTGATAGCGACCTGTCTTGCAGGAAGCTGTCTATGAAGTTTGCCATGTTCCCTTCTACTCCATTTTGTGCTAGTTTTGAGAGGAGTCCGTCATGCCATACCATGTCGAAGGCTTTGCTGAAGTCCAGAAATACTGCGTCTAGGTATTGTCTGTTTAATTGAGCTTTTTTTATTTCATTTTCCAGTCTTAGAATATGATCTAGACACGAGTGTCCCTTCCTGAAGCCACTTTGGTCAGGTTTTATGTGGTTGCCAGTTTCAAGGTGATGCATGAGCCTTTTTGTAACCATGGCTTCCATGGATCACATTTCAGTTGGGATTATGCACTAACATGACTACTGCAGTAGGGGCAAAATGTAATGACAAAATTCCAACTTAGCATGGGTGAATGTTCTTAGAAATCATAAGAATTGTGGGTGCCCTAGAATAAAATACTACAGACAACAATAATTTGTACACTGATGTCCATTATATTTCTTTCATTCTACTTGCCAAAGGAAAACACTAAATGTATGTGACAGACTATGACAGAAAGTTTCAGCCTAAATACTGTATATGAGAACAAATATGATACACTTGGGGTAATTTGTTCATGGACATGTCCAGTTGATGAACAAAACAAAGGAGAGACAGATCCTTCGTTTAGTTTTATCCTTTTGACAAATGGTAGACTAACATCTAGTCTCTGAAATGAGGGGGCACGGGTGGCCCAGTCGTCTAAGGTAGAAGAAAGATATGGTAAAATCCATTATGAACAATGATGAACATGAAGAAAGCATCTTGTTTATATTCTACTCAACTTTTGATAGGGATAGTCAGATATGTCATTTTATTTAAATATATACTTGACATATTATGACAATCAATTTTGTGTATCATGGAAAGATAAAAACCATCCCTGTCCAAAGTGAAGTAACATACATCTCTTGTTTGTGAGATATCATGACATCACCATGATCACCATGTTAATACCTCTTCATATTTATTGGTCTTGTTATCAGTGAAATACAGGTTCTCTACAAAATCTTAACATTAGTTATTAGCTATATATATGTTTATATATATATACCATGAATACTCAACCCAAAAAATTGGTGATTTTGGGGATATTTTTTAAAACTTTATGTTCAGTCTTAATGACAACAAATATCCCCCAATTATTCATGAATCCTAATTGTTTTTGTTCAGTACCTTAACATGAATTCAGAATATTGTTTAATTCATATTTTGATTCCCATTTGGAAATATTAATGACACTTGCTACAGATTTGTAGTTGAATATCGACCTCTGAGCAGGTCTAGACAAATCCCTGGATGATGTGCTTCCATTTGGTGGGCCATTTGTTCAGTGAATTATTATTATGATTGTTTATTGACATTCTTTTTCCAGTGAAATTTGGAAGCTCAAAGATTGACCAGGCACTCATTGACAAAATGGAGAGAGTAACGGGGAAACCGGTCCATCATTTTATTCGAAGGGGAATTTTCTTCTCTCACAGGTAAAGGGAGACATCTTTGGAGATGATAGATTTCCAGTATTAAAAACAACTTCCATGTCTAAATGTACTACAAGTTGTTCATAACACAAATCTGGACTTAAAAAACTGCTAAAGTTTCTTATTAGTACATTAAATACTTCATAGCTGATGAACTGTGAAGATCCGGGGTAGAATAGGTCTTCAGCAACCCATGCTTGCCGTATCAGGCAACTATGCTTGTCGTAAGAGGCGACTCACGGGCGACTCATCGGAATGGGTGGTCAGGCTCGCTGACTTGGGTTGACGCATGTCAATTGTATCCCAATTGCGTGGATCGATGCTCATGATATCAATCACTGGAATGTCTGGTCCAGACTTGACAAGCAAACAAACAAATCGTAATCATAAACATAACAAAAGAGTTATTTGTCCCAGTTCTTATTAATAACACATGTATATGATTTTTGTCAACTGCTGTTGTCATAATTGTTTTGGTTTTTTGGTTGTTTCTAAATTGGAAGTTTTTATGCACGACTTTGATCTTGAAGATACTAAACACTATCTATAGAAATAATTTTAAAATGTTTTCTGTGTGGCACATTATTAGGAAAACAAATGACATCGGAAAAACAACAATATGAATTTGGTCTACATAATTTATATCATGTATATGGTCAGTGTTTGTTTGATTTGAAACCAGAGCACAATACTATGAATAGATTTGAAAGTTATGTCCAATAAGGTCGTCATCAGTCTTTTAGCATGTTTAGTATTGTGAATTTCATTTATGATTTTTCACCATGTTGAAGCTTGTTGAGATTCTACCTGTCAGTTTACCATGTATAATATCTTGATCATTCCAGGGATTTGCACCAAGTATTGGAAATGTATGAGAAAAAGAAACCGTTCTACCTGTACACTGGCCGCGGACCATCATCAGAGGCCATGCATTTGGGTCATCTCATACCATTTGTCATTACAAAGTAAGTCCAAATTTCATTTGGCTGAATAATCCCAAGTGGGATTATCCCAAAACATGAAGTGGAAGGGAATATAGGAATGGGTGCTGTCCGTCCTTCCGTCCATCTGTCTGTCACGTTTCATATCCAGAGCTGGTCACAAAAATCATGAGTGATGTCTTAACTACACTTTGCAAATGGATAGGTTTTAGTGGTGAACTGGTGCCTTTTGATAGTTTGGGATTTTTGAAAAAATTATCTTTCGAGTTCCATGGCATTGACTTTTTTTACTTAGACTCAAAATGGCGGTAGTGCTCCACACAACCGGACATGTCATATTGGCAGGGTATATGAGTATTTCTTGCTTGTTTGTAGTTAGTCAAGATGATGTTTTATTTTATTATGTTGATAATGTTATGATTGAGATAATGTTATGATCATGGTGTGGCAGGGTTGCATAGTGGTTTGGGTGTTTGCTTTGGATTTCTAATCTTGGTTGGATTATCCACAGGGAAACAAAATTAACTAATCAAATATGTCAAGCTCATTCTTGATGTTCCCTCTTGGAAAGTAGCTGGACTATTGCTTAAAGCTTGTAAAACCAATCACTCACTCCCCGCATTCCCGTGTGTGTAGGTGGCTACAGGAAACGTTCGATGTCCCGCTGGTTGTGCAGCTGACAGATGATGAGAAGTTCCTGTGGAAGGATTTCACAATTGAAGAGGCAAACAGGCTGGCGTATGAAAACACTAAGGATATTATAGCTTGCGGATTTGACCCAGAGAAGACGTTCATCTTCAGTGATTTTGAATATATTGGGTAATAATACTGACCTTATTCTTCCCAGTAATCGTCATTGAAAAGTTTCTCTGTCCTCATGGACCTTGTCAACAGTTTCAAAAACATACTTTGTGTATGGTGCTATGATCTAACGGTCTTTACGTGCATAACAGGACAAGAACAAGATTCAATATTTACATAGACTTTGTAAGCTCTAGTTTATGTTTATATACTGTTTAAAAGAAGTTAAAGAACACTCTATTTTTTCATATGACTATAGTAAATCTATCATGTCATTACAGATTGACTATGACAAATTAACTAATAACATGATGAAATAACTGTTCTTAAACTTCTTATGAGTAGGATACATTGATTCTTTTGTAGAGGAAAATTCCCTATAAGCATGATAAGTATGGAATGCAGTACTGTGTTTCAATATGTTTGAATATGTCAAATAGTTATCAAAGTCATTTGGATTCCGTCATGTTATTTACCTTGATAAACCAATTCAAATGCATGTCATGTTTCTTCAACAGGAACAGCAGAGGGTTTTACAGGAACATGTGTCGGTTTCAAAAGTTGGTCACATTTAACCAGGTGAAGGGCTGTTTTGGTTTCGGTGACAGTGACTGCATTGGGAAGATCAGCTTCCCTTCCATCCAGGCTGCTCCAAGCTTCAGCTCCTCCTTTCCGGACATCTTCAACGGGAAGAGCAACGTCCCCTGTCTGATCCCCTGCGCTATTGACCAGGTGAGTTCTCCCTGTCTGATCCCCTGCGCTATTGACCAGGTGAGTTCTCCCTGCCTTATCCCCTGTACTATTGACAAGGTGAGTTCTCCCTTGTCTGATCCCCTGTGCTATTGACCAGGTGAGTTCTCTCTTGTTTGATCCCCTGGGCTATTGACCAGGTGAGTTCTCCCTGTCTGATCCCCTGCACTATTGACAAGGTGAGTTCTCCCTTGTCTGATCCCCTGGGCTATTGACCAGGTGAGTTCTCCCTGTCTGATCCCCTGCACTATTGACCAGGTGAGTTCTCCCTTGTTTGATCCCCTGGGCTATTGACCAGGTGAGTTCTCCCTTGTTTGATCCCCCGCACTATTAACCAGGTGAGTTCTCCCTTGTTTGATCCCCTGGGCTATTGACCAGGTGAGTTCTCCCTTGTTTGATCCCCTGGGCTATTGACCAGGTGAGTTCTCCCTTGTCTGATCCTGTGTGCTATTGACCAGGTGAGTTCTCCCTTGTTTGATCCCCTGGGCTATTGACCAGGTGAGTTCTCCCTATCTGATCCCCTGCACTATTGACCAGGTGAGTTCTCCCTGTCTGATCCCCTGCACTATTGACCAGGTGAGTTCTCCCTTGTCTGATCCCCTGGGCTATTGACCAGGTGAGTTCTCCCTGTCTGATCCCCTGCACTATTGACCAGGTGAGTTCTCCCTTGTCTGATCCCCTGGGCTATTGACCAGGTGAGTTCTCCCTGTCTGATCCCCTGGGCTATTGACCAGGTGAGTTCTCCCTGTCTGATCCCCTGCACTATTAACCAGGTGAGTTCTCCCTGTCTGATCCCCTGGGCTATTGACCAGGTGAGTTCTCCCTTGTCTGATCCCCTGCACTATTGACCAGGTGAGTTCTCCCTTGTCTGATCCCCTGGGCTATTGACCAGGTGAGTTCTCCCTGTCTGATCCCCTGCACTATTGACCAGGTGAGTTCTCCCTTGTCTGATCCCCTGGGCTATTGACCAGGTGAGTTCTCCCTGTCTGATCCCCTGCACTATCGACCAGGTGAGTTCTCCCTTGTCTGATCCCCTGGGCTATTGACCAGGTGAGTTCTCCCCTGTCTGATCCCCTGCACTATTGACCAGGTGAGTTCTCCCTTGTCTGATCCCCTGGGCTATTGACCAGGTGAGTTCTCCCTTGTCTGATCCCCTGGGCTATTGACCAGGTGAGTTCTCCTTGCCTTATCCCCTGGGCTATTGACCAGGTGAGTTCTCCCTTGTCTGATCCCCTGGGCTATTGACCAGGTGAGTTCTCCCTTGTCTGATCCCCTGGGCTATCGACCAGGTGAGAGCTCCCCCTTTCCTCAACATTGATCACTATATGGCTGAAATAATGCTGATGTGACATTAAATTAACTCTCCTACTTAAATCGGCCCTTATGCAACCTCGTCCTTCTAATTTTTGATCATGTTAATATTCACTAAATGTTTGCAGGATCCCTATTTCCGAATGACGAGGGATGTAGCACCGAGGATGGGATGTATGAAGCCGGCTCTGATGCACTCCATGTTTTTCCCTGCACTGCAAGGAGCTCAAAGCAAGATGAGTGCCAGTGACGCCAACTCCTCTATATTCCTGACAGACACAGACAAACAGATCAAGACAAAGGTGACAAATGTTAAGATGTCTCTTAAAGTCCTACATATTACTCTATCAACCCCACAGTATGTTTGACGCCCCTCTAGAAACCATCATTCATATGACTGTGTTAACTCCACAGTACAATACATTGGAATGCAAAATTCAGACATTATTGCAGTGTATTGTTATCTGAAAGTAAATACTTGTTAAGTAGAGGTGCAGAGTATCACAAGTATACCACAATATGAAATACTAATGAATACGTATCACATTATGTTTGGAAAAATACCGGTATATTGCATTTTTCAATATCATGAATATATGTTGGGCATAGCTTACACAAGCAAAACATTGAGTTGAAGTAATGAAATACAGAAATCAGCATCAGATTGCTGTGATCGAAAAAGCGAAACTCGTCGCGACCGGCTTCCTTTTCTGTAAATCTTGAAAATAATCTCCAAATTAATATGACTGTTGTCCCTTAGACAAAAATGTGACTCAATATCAATGCAACTCCCCCCACCCCATTCCCAGTGGGATGACACATTACCTTAATCCAATCAAATAGCAAATAGCACCACTTATTAGCACTACGTAAAGCACTTCTGTAAAAAACAATTAACAGTTTATATGTTTATTCTGTTGACTGGCGTGAGGGAAGTTGAAGGGCAATAAAATAATTGAACTAACAACAGTTCACTGATTGGTATGCGGAGAAGGTGTCAACAAATTTGAAATGGAGTGGTCAATGCTGCCTAGTTTGACACAAGTGGGTAGAACTCTTGACCCCAGCAGTTATAACTCACTGGATGCCTATTGTGTAATTCCTATTCTTTGAATGACGTTGTTATATACTTGTTACAACTGCTGCTCAATAAACCGTGTTTGTGTTTATATTCAAGCTGGTATTTTCCACTATCCAACGTGTGCAGTATGGCCATCTTATTATTGATAGTCATTTTGCAGACATAAATGCGTCATTTAATTAATGCGAACAAAGACCACTTGCATTTTTTGCATTTAACTCACACTCATGTTAATTTCAAGATTTACAGTATATAATGTGTATATTGCGCATGTTGCGACAATAGCAACATCCAACAAATTGGCAGGGGATTACTAAGTTGTTACAAATTTGTGGGGGAGTTCGGATGTACGGGTCCTTTTTATTCAGATTCATAACAAATTATACATAAAAGAATGCATGCAGTATCTTGTGGTACATACCGTATAGCAATACATGAATCATTAGTGCAATAAATTGCAATACGAAAGACAGGCAATTACGATTCACTATCTTTACGTGTGATTGACGTGTAAATACAGTTATTTCTTGTCTATATTCACCATGTCTATGTTCACAGTCTAAATTACTGCTGAATAAGGCAACATTCAACCCTTCCATTTTCATGCCAAAAAAGCAACACCAGTTGTGATTGTAAGCATGGTAACATACATCTTGCTGGGGCAAGGGAGTTAACTGACTATAAATGTGGAAACTTGACTTTTATAGTCAGTTAACTCCCTTGCTGTAAGTAGATGGGTAAAATGGGTCTTATGAGGTGCATTTATAATCACTGATACTGGCTTTAATAATTAACTGAAAGATTTTCTTGTCATGCATTCTTGTGTATTAGCTGTCACATGTCGTATATGGTTTGTTTTCTCCTCATGGACAGATCAACAAGTATGCATTCTCTGGAGGTCAGACAACAGTAGAGGAGCATCGAGAAAAGGGAGGAGACTGCAGTGTTGACGTGTCCTACCAGTACCTTACATTCTTCTTGGAGGATGATGCCAGACTAGAAGAAATAAAACAAGTCAGTATCCTTTGTTTTTACATTATGCATGTTTGTTAAGGCTCTGTTTGTCAAAATGCATCATGATTATATGATTTAAGATATTATTGATATTGAAGCTTTTTTAGGAGGCGTAGATGGCCCAGTCGTGTTAGGCACTGCAATTTGGTGTGCAGAATTGTGTCCCTTTGGTGAGCCAGACACCTTTGATCAGGGAGATTCCTCTATGGGCTAGTAGCTAGAATGACACCTCACTGGATCGATCCCAAAAGACGTTAAAAGATGGTACTTCTTGTTACCCTGTCTGAGCCTCAGCATATAGGGGATGAAAAAGGACTTGTCATTTCGGAGTCGGTATACTGTGTCTGAGTTGGGCATGTTAAATCTTTGGCATAAACTCAATGGGCAAGCACAATAAAAACGTCATAAGTCCGGACTGGTGCAAACAGCCGCCACACAGGTGTATAACTAGTGTAAATACCACCACCATACCACATACCCTCCCACAGCATTAACTAGAGTAATATGAAAGAATTTGAGTAGAATGATATGACTCATTATCCCAATCAAAGGTTGAGTCCTATAACCATTATTTGTACCCATGTACTGCAGGGTGGAATACGTCTGGAGTAGCCCTTGCTTGTCATGGGAGCAGACTATTAATTGTGGATAGAGTGGTCTCAAGGGCTGCATAGATGAATGCAAATTGAATGTAAACATCATTGTTTTGTCTGATTCAGACTTGATTTTAATAGGGTATTTATATATACTACTCAAAAGAAGTTAAAGCTTTATCTTCTTTTGAGTAGTATAGAATAAGGCCACTTCTATTGGGGATAGAATAGGGCCATCATAGCATAGAGCTATGCATGCATTGATAATTCATCTTCCCGAGGCAAGGGCGTTAACTGACTATGAAAGTCCAGTTTCCACCCTTGCCGAACTAGGCTGGAATTTCCAGGCACGATCGTAGTGCCACCAGTGGCTATTATGAGTTATGTCCCTTCTATGTTCCTCCTAGTGACCAGTCAGATTCCATCTCTCATATCACTTGCATTTCTTTAAAGAAAAAATGGCCTCACCTGGTGAAGACGATCTGATCGATAATCAAGATCTCTATTTTAATAAAATGGGTCTTACCTTGCCAAGTGCATAAAATCATGTGAGCACCTTGATTAAAAACATGAAAGAATCTGTAAAATATCTATCGAAACATTGAAATCCATGTTGTTTACAAACCAAATGTCCTGTTCGTTACGCGATTTTGATTGGACTATGCATAGACTATGTTAGTCCAGCCAAAATGTAACTCCATAATTGCAGCCATATTCGCAAGGGTGGAAAGTGGTTTTTATATTCAGTTAACTCCCTTGCCACGGGAAGATGTGATATTTAGGTTTAATGAATGCATTTTTTCATTAAAATAATCGATTCAAATAAATTTTTGAATGAGTTTGTGTGAGAGGTACTTTGACAATGTTGTTTTCTCTTTCAGGGTTATTCCAGTGGTCAGATTTTAACAGGAGAGCTGAAAAAGGAACTGATTACAATTTTACAGAAACTAATAGGAGAACATCGAGAAAGGAGGGCCAAGATCACAGATGATGACATCAAGCGGTTCATGAAACCAAGGAAGCTCAAATATGATTACTGACACATAGGTTTAACACGGTGCACTCACATGAACTGATTGAAATGGTCATTGAATATTGATGACAAATGATGAAAATGTGATTATTTTGATATTTATTTAGGGATGTATCCTCCCATCCTGCCATTAGTCAGTAAGCTGAAAACAACAAACCAGCATAATGTACTACCCATGTAACATGCTGTCTCAGTCCCATAAATTAGTATGCTGTGGCCTTCGATGACTTTATACTAGAACACTTCTTTTCTCAAAATGCTCAATTATTTAGTAGATTAATTTTCAAAAATATAAAATGTTCACGTTAGTCTGGATTATCTGCTGAAATAGGTAATTATTTGTTTTATGTGGGATAACATTATACTGGTTCAGGTGTTTTTTCCAAACATCGGACAAGCAAGAAACAATTTATGGGGAACAATAACATCATAATGATATCAAAACTTCTATGAGAGTAGTCTATGACTGTTATAGGTCTTTCATATGAAAACAGATGGCATTTGACCGACATAGCATATTCCAACTTATGCAGTCCTGTCTATATGGTGTTCAGCTGTTGCGATATGTGTATGGTGCATTCAGTCCCGGACCTGAGTCGAGAAAGTAACAAATGGGAGATAACTCTTCCGAAAACCACAGACTAGACTTTCACTGCCTGCAGCTGAGCACGATGGGATATGTGGTGTTCATGGTGTTAGCACTTTTTCCACAGGTCTAGCCTCTACTTTGCGCTATGGTCTCAACACCAATCTCTACTGGAACAAATATTATCAATAACAACTTCAACAGGAACTAAAGGTCCAACACAAGCTTTTGCTGGAACTGTAGTATCAATACCAGCCTCTACAGGAACTATAGTTACAACATCAGACTCTACAGGAACTATAGTTACAACACCAGACTCTAATGGAACTATAGTTACGACATCAGCCTCATCAGGAACTAAAGTTACGACACCAGCCTCTTCAGGAACTATAGTTACGACACCAGCCTCTTCAGGAACTATAGTTACGACACCAGCCTCTTCAGGAACTATAGTTACGACACCAGCCTCTTCAGGAACTATAGTTACAACACCAGCCTCTTTAGGAACTATAGGCCCAAAAGCTGTGGGCAATTAGCAGGGTACTGCCCAAGGATGATTCTACCACATTTACTTATCACTCCAAAATGTAATAGTCGAAGTCTAAATAAATGCCGATCATTTTGTCTTTGGTTATGTAAACCAAGCTTGTTTCCAGTTCAGATGAACATATGAAACAAGTGTTAGAATGTAACAATATGTTGTAAATATTTACACACAAATATTTCAATGTTGTATTGCTGTTACCAGCATCACCACTCCTCAACCACTGCGAATACTGACTACACCACAAGACTAAATTCACTATCTCACTCACTCTTACAATAAATGTTTAATTTTTCATTCCTTTGTTTAAATGTGATAAATGTTTCATGAATTGAAGTTGGAGTCATTGTTTCAGTTCATTATTTGTGACCTCAGTCTTTCAGGAGATGATGTGCTCATCCTATTGGTGACAAAGCATGAAGACCTACTGATTTCACTTGTCGGGAGGCTATTGTAACACAACGGTAGTCACTTATTGTCAACAGTTGAACGCTTTGGTAGAGGTCCTGCTTTTCACATGTTTTAGACAGTGTTTCAAGTGAGGGGACACGGGTGGCCCAGTCGTCTAAGGTGCCGCGATTCACTGTGCAGAGTTGCGTCCCTTGGCCGCGCCAGAAACCTATGATTGTGGGTTCGAATCCTGGTATGCCCCGATTATGTTTCTAGGTTTTTCAGCACCATACCCGTGCTCGTGGGTTTCACTGAAGTGGTAAACGTCTGAGACCTGCATTACTTCGGGCTTTCCTCCCACGCCGTGATATAACTGGAATACTGTTAAAAGCGGTGTTAAACCCAACTCACTCACCTTTCAAGTGATTGATTGCGTTGTACCCCGATGGTGTGGATGTGAGCTCATCCACTGGACTGCCTGGTCTTCATGCAAATATTTACATGGAGCTGGATGTCGAATATTGCTGACTGTCTTTAACATCATTCAAAAGTTGTGATCTAACTGCTATACTGTTCAAAACAGTGTTAAACCAGTTATAGAAACTAACAATTTTATTCCACTAGTAGTTATTATGATAGCATATACCAAAACCCCTACAAATGGTAAATGTCTACTCTTCCTCAGGATACGTCAACTATTGGGCAGTTTGGCAAGGACTATGGGACTAGTGCCAATGTCAAACATTAGTTAAAACATCACTCACTCAATGAATGAAGTACGATTAATGTTTGAATGAGGACTTATTTCATGTTTTCACCACGTTCCTATATTCATTATGCATCTGTACAGTGCTGACCTCTGTGGTCAAGTGGATTGAGCTGCTGCCCAAAGAGATGGTGGTTTGAACCCAACAACATTTAAAGATGATGCTTGTTGTTACCCTGCCTTGCCCTCGGCAAAAAACAAGGACTGGTGGGCTGGTGGGCTCGGAGTCAGTGTACCGTGTTTGAGTGAGGGATTCATGTTAAACTGCGACATGGTATCTCAGTGGGCCAGCACTTTGAAACTGACACTATTCCGGACTAGTATGAGTAGCCACGCACACTCATGTGCATGCACATCACTCGTGCAAGAATCTCGAACACAACTATCAACCCCATTTGGCCTCACCTCCTGTACACTGCTCGGTACAGTACACAGGGTCTGATGGGTCCATGTACACTCTGATCACTCCTGTACATAAAGTACAAACTGAAGATATCTGTATTATTACTGACAACATTAATCTAATTCACTTAAATGGAATTTTCATTATTTGATTCAATTGTCAGGAATATATATAATCAACAAACCACTTGCTGTAAGGTGAGTATTTATTCTGTCTGTGAAGTGAGGGAAACTAGGAACCTCATAACTAAACTACATAAAGCATACAAGCAGTTCAACAATTTGCTCCAGTTAACTAAAATCAATACAATTGATAAAGAACTAAAACAACCTTTATTACGTAACATTCCACGTTTTCTGCATTTTTGCATTCTCTTGTGGCTAAAGTACTTGTTTTGGACCAATCAGCTACCATTGATTGTTTGGGATCCGCATCTCTCCCGTATGTTCCCACAACTCTTGTATAGGAGTAATTATGTGCGACTGCCATTTTTAACGTGTGATTCAGTCTTGAAACAAGCCTATGGTAGAGAATTGGTCCTGGGTATTACCCTAACAGAATGGAGATGCAGTCCCGAAACAAGCCTATGGTAGAGAATTGGTCCTGGGTATTACCCTAACAGAATGGAGATGCAGTCCCGAAACAAGCCTATGGTAGAGAATTGGTCCTGGGTATTACCCTAACAGAATGGAGATGAAGTAACTGCTTAAACAAGGATGGGTTTCACAGAAACCTGCACTGAACATAGAAGCTTAGATTTTTGCCCCAAAACATCAGGTCAGGTTGAAAAAATATACAAAATAAAAACTCTGATTTCGGATATTTTGATTTATTTCCTCTCGTGATTCGTCATTATTCATTGTGTTTTGAAGATAACTGCTCAACAGGTTTTAATTAGATAGCGCTCTTAATAATTTATTTTTATTGATTGATTGAGTCCAGCTTCAAAATGATTTTTTTTCAACATTTACTTATTTCTGGTTGGTAGAAAAATTTACTGCTTTACATTTTTATTTTTTTCACATTTCAATTTGGCAGGTTCATAAACCAAGTTTCAAAAAGGTCTGGCCTGAAAGACAAGGTCTTCATTATAAGGTGGTCGTTTCATGGTAAATCAGATGATGTAATACCTGGTGATCACTCCTAGCACTGGGAGAATTATTACTGTACACATGGTCTGGAACTTCATTATGTTTGTTTGTTGTTTAATGCTGCACTCAGCAATATTCCAGCTATATGACAGCGTTCTTAAAAATAATCGAATCTGGACCAGACAATCCAGTAATTGACATCATGAGCATCGATCCATGCATTTGGGATATGATGACGTGCATCAACCAAGTCAGCGAGCCTGACAACCCGATCCCATTAGTCGCCTCTTACAACAAGCATAGTTGCCTTTTATGGCAAGAACTTCAAGATGAAAGAAGTATATATTTTGACATCAGTCTCCTCTAGAATAAACTTCAGTACTGAGACAGGTAGACAACTGCAGCAAGATACAAATATACAATGATATTTAAACAAGTTTATAGTGTCATTATTTATGATACATAATATCAACATGGATGTACAATTATATTGTATATAAACTAAAAAAACTATTAAATAACAATAATTTGGCACAACTAAGGGTAATAAATACTACATGTTATACAGACATCATATTCTGCATAAGATATGCTTGTATGTGGGAGAAGTGGCCATATTTGATTTTCTGCTGATGCATAGTGTACAACAACTTCTGTGACATGACAGGTAAATAGTGAGACGGACCACCAGGCTCCTCTAGCACATAAATGTGAGAGCTACAACCATAACATAAGGCTTAAAAAAATAAAAGAATTGGTTCTCTGGCAATGGCTTTTGAAAATGTAGTGTGTGCAGGCAGTTGTTTTTTGTTGCATTTTTTTGGGGGGGAGGGGTGTGTGTGTGTTCAAATTAGTATGTAACCAAATAATAAGTTGTGTACAATCAATCTGGCAAAGGACCTCGCTATATATAAATGTATTCCCTTGATGGGAAATGGAATAAATAATTAAATAAAAAAAATAAAAAATGTATTCCTTGGGAGTAAAATATAGTATTTGACTACTCTCCATGCAGTGTGCATAATATATAGCAAAGATTGAGCTTAGGCATTATTTCACTACGCTGAGACATAAGCACATAACACTGGAAGTAGCATGTCAACAACTCCGTACTGAAGTGAGTCATGTTACAGTATTGGGCAATGGAAGTGTTTGGTGTGTATCTGGACTTATGTTGTCTTATTTTTGTCTACATCAATTTCAGCGAAATCGTGTATATACTGATCATGCTGATCGGACAATAATCGGTGGAATATTTATGGATTCATATATTTTTTAAAAAAATGGAAATAAAAACGAAACATGTGGCAAACTCTGATGATGCTGGCAGTGCCTAAGAACTAAGACTATTATTTTTTAAGCCAAAGTGTAAATTCTGAGATCCTGGAGTCTGTTCCGCACAGCAAGTGTTTTATGAGAATTGTGGAAATATAATAGCGACTGTCCCAAGGAACATGGCTGGGTTAAGTACAGTGCTGATCAGATCGTAATGTTTCCAACATCTCGTAATATTAAGATAACAATTGTGTAAGTCAATATGTAAAATAGCCTCTGATAATCAGGCAAATATCGGTTAAAAAATATGACATGTGAATGCTGGAGGTATCAGCCTGTGTTTTGATTGGACACACAGTTTTACATGAAGCCCACATGGCAGTGAAGAGAGTATCAACTGGCTAAGATCTAATTGCATAGATTCTTCCCATCAATTCTGACATCAGTAAACAGGCAGAATATGAACACAACAGCAGCTACAGATATCTGGATGTTGGTGCTTATTATTTCGAACGGTGGGATGTTCGTATGAAATGAAGAGACATTACATGCATTTTTCAGGCACGCACATATCTTTAGAGTCTGCAGTCCTGTAAATTGTCAATTTGTGGGAATACTTGTGAAAATAAACACAATATCAGCGATCTAACCCACTCAGCCACCGAGGCTTCCACAAAATGGAAGTCCAACAACTGGTAGTCTAGATCACGTACATGGCTTAGTGGGTTAAATCGCTGACTTTGTGTGCTGGTGATTAGGTGCCTCTCTCTGAGAGTGTGGGTTCGAATCCCAGATGGGACTCAACCCCCCCAAAAGTTCGAGAACTTCTACTTAACTAAGAAAGTGTAATCCCATATTAACATTTGTTACTATGAACAGTTGGAATCACAGACATGGTGATTTATACATGTACACACAATCATGGAAGAATCCAATCTACACCGAGCTCATAAATCTTACATCAATGTCGAAGTGATGTAAATACGGTCACAAGCCAATATCGCATCACAGAACACCAGCAGATACGTCTGTCATGACTACTGCCTCCAGACAGACAATACACAGCCAGACTTGACACTGTGCTAGAATACAGCAACATGTAGTGTTTTTGAGCACAAGAAATACATAATATGAGCTCTCAAGTTCAAGACAGTGTTACAGAACAAGACATTGTGTTAACTGAGATATATATTTAGGTGTGGAAATGCTTTGTTCGGTGATACTGATACTGTGATAAAATGAGTAACAAGTTGAAGTAGGTCCAATCTCAGAACCTCCACATGACCCTGACTGAATCCAGAAGGAAAATCACCAAAATACTGGCACCTCCTTGAGCTCCTCACCCAGATCTTCCTCTTCTTCCTCCTTCACTTTCTTCTTCTTCTTCTTTTTGGCAGCATCTACTTTCTCCACCTGTGTTTTCTCGACTGGATCTTCGATGTCAGTCAACACCAGATCCTTCACGGTACTGGTCTCACTTTGAACACTGCCCTCTGTGTCTGTCACTTCAGTCACGGAGCTGCTGGTCTCACTCAGGGCATCGCTGGTGCAGGAAGTGTGCCCCTGTGAGGAGTTCACACTGGCAGTGGTGGACAGGAAGTCATCCTCACTCGCATCAATACTGGCATCATCGGGGACATTGGCACGCAGGATTGATTTGATGGCTGCAACAGTGCTCTTCTTCACCTTATTTTCACTGAGAGTTATTTTTCGTAATTTGCCAGGGTAGTTTTGCAGTAGATCTAACAGAAGCTGAAAACAATATATTTGACACAATTAATATTTATCTGATAATTATTTTATAAGGTGCAATCCGGCGATACTGAGATGGTCCCCTTAAAGTATGTTATGCAAGCCTTTAGTGTTCGAATAAGAAAGGATCATATAAAAAATATTCCAAATATGCCAACATATGTTACCCTGATCCAGACGTTTCAAGTCTATTTTTAGCCAATAACCATGGTGAGATGACAACATCTTCACACAATGCAGGGTAGAAGGTATCACATTACATTTTGGAATTAATTCCTCTGCAGTCAAAAGTGGTGTCATTATTTCAGGAAAGAGGTGAGATGAAATGGGGTTTATAACGTCACGTTCAAGATTATTGCACTTATATATAGCGACGTGCATGCACATGTGTGTGTGTGCCTTCTTCTACTAGTCCGGCCTAAAGCCGATGTTATAGTGCCAGCCCACTTATAGACCATGCCACAGTTTGACATGAATACCCCACTCAGACACAGTATACTGACTCTCGAGATAACCAGTCCTTGTTTTAAACCCTTAATGATAAGCACCTGGCAGGCTAACAAGTACCATCTTCTAACGTCTTTTGGTACGGCGCTGCCGGGGATCTAACCCCCAACCTTCCACTCTCCGGGCTGACATGCTACCACTATGTCTTTAGGCATAGAAGTATTATATGAGAGCAAAGTGATGACATCAGCTATCTTCACTTAGGAAAGATCTTGAAGATAGGGAATTTATGTCAGTGAAACAACTGGTCATCTCACTGCAAAGTAAAAAAACATATCAGTTCAATCAAAACATTTTTCCTGCAGTTGTTATCAGGTCCATTGGCCTTAAAGTAAAACTAAACAGAGCATTAGAGGTTAACAGGTACTGTTGTCATGCATAGACTGGTGTACCTGGGCTGTCTTCTCTGTGACCCCGGTGCCTTCAAAGTCGAGGGCCTCAATCTGCTGGTTGGCTGCCACGCCCACCAGCAGGCTGCTGGCCCCGATGTCCTCCAAATTGTTGTAGTCGAGGTAGACACGCCTCAGGTTTGGGGAGTGGGCCACTGTCATGGCTAGACTTGCCCATCCAGCTGTGCTGATCCTTGTGTTGGCACTGAGACCCAGTTCAGATAAACCTTGGGTACAAAACAATAGAGTTCTATGACTCCCTGCTTTCCAAAATGAAGGTCCTGAAGAGTGTATGTTATCCATTTTGGGGGAAGTTATTTGATTTAGATGTAGAGTTACATCTGCTGTGGTAATTTTACTGGTTGGGATTTTGCAAATGTTCAGTCTTATTAAAGTCTTTTTAAAATCTCATATTAGCTCTTGCTACTGATAAACAAAGATCTGAGGACATCCCATTATGAATCTCATCCAAACGACTTTCATCCGACCAATCATGTTTGTTTAATGCTGTACTCAGCAATATGTCAGCTATATGACGGCGGTCTGTAAGTAATCGGGTCTTTACCAGACAATCCAGTGACTGACACGAGCATCAATCAATGCAATTGGGATATGATGACATGCACCAACCAAGTCAGCGAGCCTGACCACCTAATCTGTTAGTGGACGCTAATGACAAGCATGGGTTGCTGAAGATCATTTCTAACCCGGATCTTCACAGGGGTCATCTTTTGAAGCAATGATGCTCAATGTACAAATAATGAGAGCTGACCACTATCAATGCTGTCTGTCAGGACACCTTCATGAAAAAAACATTACAGAGTCCACTCACAATCAATAATGCATTGATGTCACAAGTAACCCATGAAGAACCTGTGTCATTGTATCCCAACTGCAAAGATCAATGCTCATGATGTCAATCAGTGGATTGTCTGGCCCAGACTCAATTATGTACAGACCGCTGTCATATAGCTGGAAGATCGCTGCCACTTAACAAGCGCAAACAACAACAAACAAACATGTCAAAAGTGCAGTGACCGTGTCCAGCACAAGTCCAGGTAAGCTGCAAATTTGTATAAAATATGTAAAATAAAATACCATTACCCTTTCAGCCTTGAGTCGTTGCACACAAATACATATGAACATTTTTAAAATCTCAACATCAACACCCGGCGAAATTACCCAATGTATCGTTTTCAACTTGCTTAGCTGTATTTCTTTACAGTTGTTGTATTACTGAGGGAAGGCAGGCATCACACATACATGAAATCTACTGCCAAAATGTAACTCCATAATACCAGCCTAGTTCGGCAAGGATGGAAACTGGACTTTTATAGCCAGTTAACTCTCATGCCTTGGGAAGATTGAAAAAATCTATCAATACTCAATGTGAATGATAGCTTATAAGTACATATGAAATGGTTCCAAAAATTATCTGGAGCCCTGTTTGAAATTTGAAAGCAACATGGATCTGCTTCACTGTTTCTGCTGACCAACCTTCTTGTTCTGATGTTGGCATCAGCAAAAGCCTTAAGTGTTGTATAGCAGCATCTCCCAAGTCACAGTCACCAACATCAAGGGATGTTACATGAGAGTTGTATGACAATGCCTCTGCTATCACCTTCAGTCCTTCATCACCTATCGGGTTACCATGGATACTGGAGTAAAAAAGGTCAGAGATAATCTTGTGACTGATATCTCCTAGACTGACAACATGCACATAGATCGGACACAATTATCCCCCCCCCCCCCCAAAAAAAAGATATTACATCAACACAGTGGAGGAAAGTTTACTTCGGCCGTCTGTCCTTTGAGTCTACCAGCCTGAATATCTATTTTTGCATTTCTTTCAGTATATTTTAGTCTTAGTTTATGGATTAGTATTATGTGATTTAACCATATTCAGACTTTGGACTAGTGGATGGCAGATAGCTTTGGGTAGGTTTTGTTTGTTTGTTTGTTTGTTGTTTAATGCCGCACTCAGAAATATTCCAGCTATATGACAACAGTCTGTAAATAATCGAGTCTGGACCAAACAATCCAGTGATTGACATCATGAGCATTGATCTATGCAAATGGGATACGATGACATACATCAACCAAGTCAACGACCCTGACCCTCTATCCCATTAGTCAACTCTTACAACAAGCATGGGTTGCTAAAGACCAATTCTAAACCGGATCTTAACAGGTCGCTTTGGTATTTAAAAACTGTAATGCACACTATGCATAAATCAGGTTTTCGCGGATTAAAACAATATGCACATTGGTTCATTAATTCTTCATTAGCATATCATTGTACCATAACGTGTAGTAATAGATAAACGTGGGTTATGTTTGATTCAATGAATGTGCTATATGAGAACGTTTGATGACTATCGTCACCAAGTCACGTACTGTAATGACTTCAGAAGCTTGTTTTTCCTCAGAGCTTGTGCCAGGAGTTCTATTCGTTGTTGGTCGGAGATGACTCCAACACTGAGGGACATCTGTAACAATGATGTACTGCGACCGCTACTTTTCATCAGTCGTTTAAAGTTTACATCTGAAATCTTACAATTTCTCAAAGAAATTATTCTGAGCTGATTGCTCTCCAGCAAATCACCAATTTCCTTGATGTGCTCTTTAGTCAGTTCCACATCTGAATGCTCTATTGCGTTAACAAGCATGGTGTTGGACGCTCGCAGTGGCGAGAAAGCAATACCTGTACTTCGTAAGTCATTGACGGGCACCTGCCGCCATCTTTTCGTTTCTACAACAATCCAGACTCGAAGCAAATGCAAAGCTTATTCCGGATTGGTTAAAATTGTCGAAGCTCCATACATTGAGGGTGTAATGTGCGGAGCTTCACGACAAATTCGATAACACCGCCGTCGGTGGCCGTGCCTTAGAATATTTGACACAGAATTCTATACAGCATTTTAAGAGTGTAAAAATAATACGAAATATGTGAAACGTAACATGCGAACGCGGAATTCTGTAGCCCATTTTTTGTGAGGAATGTATGTCATATATATATACAATAGAAATATTTATGCTGTAAGCTTTTTATAATCTGGATTTGTACTTTGTGCTTTTGGACATTTGGACTCATTTTCTGCAAAGTCCCATCTTCAGACGGTTTATGTAATGGTTGCAGTATTTGAATATAATATAATGACACGAAACGACATCTCAGTTAACGACACGAATACTATATTCCAGTTAACGACACGAATACGACATCCCAGTAAAAGACACTAACACAACCACTGTGAATTGTGTGAAACACATGTACAATTTGTAATTCAAATACACAGTTTCTACATGTTGAAAACGACCCGGAAAAACCGGGGTAGAACAGGTCTTCAGCAACCCATTCTTGCCGTAAAAGGCGACTAACGGGATCGGGTTGTCAGGCTCGCCGACTTGGTTGATGCATGTCATCGTATCCAAATTACGTGGATCGATGCTCATGATTTCAATCATTGGATTGTCTGGCCCTGACTTGATTATTTACAGACCGCCGTCATGTAGCTGGAGTATTGCTGAGTGCTGCGTTAAACAACAAACCCAAAAAACAAACATATTGAAGATATATGTCACAATTTGTTTGACCAGCATAAAAACCCATGACCTGTTATTCTGAATAATGACGTGGTGTGCAGGTTATTCTTGTAATCGTGTTTTAACATATTTGACCTACAACGTACACTTACATCATACATACATTTCTGTAAATATACAAAACCAATTCTTTTTATGTTACTATTGTACCTACGTACATAATGAAAAACCAAAACAAACTGTTTACAGATAACAGACTCCGATTGACGTTTATCAATTGTTCTGCTCCATATGATTTAACAAACACATTCATAAAGTTGAAGAAAGTTCGAAGAATCCTGGCAAATGTGTTGCTTCTCCTTTTCCCTTCGTTTGTCATGTCTCACGTTCGGCTATTTCCGCCAAGCCCGGAACAAATACGCCAGCACACTGTTGGCAGAGTGGTAACGGGCGACCAAGTCGTACACGGCGCCACAATTCGCTGTGCAGAGTTACTTCCCTTGGATCGGAAACTTATCGTTATGGGTACGAACACGCTTCGCCCCAATGATGTTTTTAGGTCTTTCAGCACTATACCTGTGCTCGTGGGTTTCTCAAAGTCGTAAACGTGTGAGGCCTGCATCACTTCGGGCTTTCCCCCCACATTAAGTTGACTCGCCGTGAAATTTATAGTTTCTAATGTATGTAGAAAACTGTTAATATCCAAACACCCCTTCTAATTCACCCAACACTCACACTCAGACAAGAAAGAATGACCTGAATGTGTTTATTGACGAAGTATACGGCCGTGGGGGTATATGCCACCACATGCATAACATGAAACACAATGAGGCAGACATAATACGTCGCAACACAATTCGATCACACTACTGGAGACCCGTGAAGATCCGGGGTAGAATAGATCTTCAGCAACCCATGCTTGCCGTAAAAGGTGAATATGCTTGCCGTAAAAGGCGACTAACGGGATCGGGTGGTCAGGCTCGCTGACTTGGTTGATGCTTGTCATCGATCCCAATTGTGTGTATCGATGCTCATAATATTAATCACTGGATTGTCTGGTCCAGACTCGATTATTTACAGACCGCCGTCATATAGTTCGAATATTGCTGAGTGCGACGTTAAACAACCAACCAACCATCCAACCAAGCAACACTACTGGATAATACAACAATTAATAACAATGGAGAGAACTAAGATCTGGTTTTAAAAAGATTGCTTGTTGTACCACCGTTCACAAAACGAGTGAGTGAGTATGATGTTACGCCGCTTTTAGCAACATTCCACCCATATCACAGCGGGGGACATCAGAAACATTGTACCTATGTGGGGAATCGAACCCGGATCTTCGACGTGACGAGCGAACGCTTTAACCAGTAGCTAGGCTAGCTCACCATCCGTTCACGAATGGACACATTCAAGCAGGACGTCTGTGGTGTTTTGAGCGTAGAAACACGATAAATCACGGATGGTCTCGTGTTATGTTTTCAGATCCACTCTTTGTTTTTTAGATAGGTGAAGACGTGTCTGGAGGCGTCCTTACGAACATCAGGCGAACGTCAACGTAAGGCAACGTGACAGATTTGGGGTTGGGTCTGTAATTATATAAGGCGGGATCACTAAGACTGCCAGAACGCCTGTGCATACTGTCCATGGGAGGGTCATTGGCCAGTACTACCGATGCAACATATTGGCGCCAATAGTTGTACCGTTTGTCTTTCAAGGCGACGACCCTCATGCACTCCGTGCATGTATCGTAACTGAATACCTCCACCTGCAAAACATCACCAGAATGGAATGGCTAGCCGCGAGTCTGCCCCCTTCCCCTAAACAGGGCGAGGACATTTCCAAATTTGAAGCATCAGTCGCCAATATGATTTCTGATGCAATTCCCTTTTTTAACGTGTACCAAATATTCCCTATTATTTTCAGCTTAACACTTGACTTGCCCTTGGATGTGTTTGTAACAGGTGTTCGAAGTTCATTTTCACCTGTGCCAGTTCTGCCATCAGTTTGTGAGACTGCTTGTACAGTTACCATGATACTTATCAATTTAAATAAAAGTTTTGTTACCTTTGACATAACAAAACTAACATATTTTTCAATTTTCTAGGGTAAGGTCTGACAATTTTACAAGTACTCCAAAATTCCAATTTCGTTTCTTTTGAAAAGCCAAAACATTACTCCAAATAAAAATGTCAGTTGTAACCTGATTACGGTCTCTTTCGCATAAGCCCCTATAAAATCTACACCCTTCTCCACTGATTAACAACAGGTTCACAAACAACACGCTTCTATATTTACGTTAACCAAGAATAAAGCGCATGGCACTCTTATGAACATCATTTATTTATGACAAATTATTGAGTACCCTATATTGCAACATCATATTCAATATTCGATCGATTATTGATTAATACAACTTAGAATAAGCTGATATTGCATACCAACCAACATTTTATATTTTGTGATTTCACTGCTCCCTGAATTTGCCACACATTAAGCCATACGCGCATAATTCAAACACCAAAACATTCTAACTGGATATCTCCATATGAAAACAAAACTAAACAAAAATGTACCGAACTACACCGACGTGTCTCGGAAATGCAGTACGTTGGACTCGGCGATATTTAAAGCCATTTTATTTTGAATCACAAGAATTATGTAGACACTCGATCAATACATTGCATTTGATTTCCATTTCATCGAATAAAACAATAGCATTTGCACATAAAGAGTAAGGGAGATAGCAAACAACCCTGTTTTAAACCATCAAACCAGGGTTTAAACACTTTTTTTGTATAGTTACATAACAGGTTAAAACATGTTCCATTGACATCAATATTACTCAAGGTCCTTCCAATACATGTTTGCGAACGCTCGGAGACACGATACAGTTTGAACAGATCGCAGCCAACACTGCTATAAATCAACGCTTTCGACAAGAATACCCCACCCTCGTCTTATTTTTGCTTTCAGCTTCAACCCACGGAGGAATTTTAGGCACGAGGTATTAATGGATTAAACTTTATGCCATTCTCGAGGATCGTCTAGCTTGTGTCAATATGCCATTCGACTGTGTGGGGCAATGTTGCTGTCTGTGTATTAATACCCCAGTCGTGACAACATAGTCAATCTCTGCAACTTGGTTATGTAAGCGTTAAATTCCAAGTTTTTTTTATATCAGTCTACGTTGTCTTCAAATATTCCCCAGTGTTTTACATGTGCCGCATGCCCCCTTTCTTCACTAATACCTATTTATTTTTAATTACGCCCCATTGCAATTTCGGCGGATGATTGAGATGGTTATTCGCTGTATTTGACGTCAATGATTTTCTTGAACACACGCAAACAGCGTACAAGTAGCTTGGTGCAAATCTGACAAAGACTGATATTAAATGACCCGACCGTGCTTTTGTGTGTTTTAGATATTGAACCAAACTGGAATTTCCCCTTATTAGGTACCTGTATCAGAACACTAATGACTTGAACGAATTTCATTTAAAGGGAGGTTTGACTTAATTGTATAAATGGGACTTCGGGCCACAGGACATAATGAACAATAACAAATGTTTTTTCGTGTAAATGCTTTAAACAGTGCCCATGAAACTAAAACATTTCTACTAGAATGTATTTCGTGTTATTATTTATTTCTAGATTGTCCCAGTCATATAAAACGCAAGTCACTCCCTCACTGTTCTTAGATTGAAGTGTATAATTGAGATGACGAGTAATGTTTGCCTTTACGGCTCATTTTATGCTGCAATTCATTTTAATCTTTTTGCTTAATATAAGACCTTATGTAATTATTATCATGATTTTAATGACGTACAGAAGTTGTGTCAGTGACTAAAGTTACAGAGCATAAAGTAATCATGAAACTGCTTTTTAGATTTAACCTGGAAAGGTAGGTAACTCCGATCCTGATGTCTTACAATGTAGTCATGAAACAAGATTGATATTAGGGTTAATTGTTGGTTTGCTGGTTGTTTGTGCGACGTGTGTGTGTGTGTGTGTGTGTGTGTGTGTGTGTGTGTGTGTGTGTGTCTGTGTGTGTGTCTGTGTGTCTGTGTGTGTGTGGAAAAGGTGATGGGGAGGTAATGTGGGTAATTCGAACCCACAATCATAGGTTTCTGGCGTGCCCAAGGGACGCAACTCTGCACAGCGAATCGCGGCGCCTTAGACGACTGGGCCACCCATGCCCCCGAATAAATACCAGTAGTTACTTGTCACTCAAGTTTAATATAAAAAATATTCTACAGTGGAAACTGCTATTACATTGACATGCTCTTTCGGTTTGTGTTTATAAAGGCTGGTTGTACGGCCGCGTGTGTATATTGCGTCAGACGCAGTGGTAGGGAGAACTTGTCATTCCGTGAGCTGCGGCTGTACAGGTCGACAACGTTCAAGTGAGTACCGTAATGGCTGACGCTAAAGACTCCCTAGTCCAGGATGAGGATGAGGTCACCCCGTGGACTGTCCAGAGCGTTTCCCAGAAAGGCGTGGACTACAACAAGCTCATAGGTAGGAGCCCTCCATTGACTCTGTTTTGCAAATAATCGTATCATAGTCTCGTCCCCGCGGGCTGGTATCTCACTCTGTTTCCCTGTGATATATTCCATGGGCGGATACAACTTTTTTGAAAAGGGGGGGGGTGCACAATTAAGATCTATTTATTGTCTTTGGTGGTAATTTATACAGAAATAAAGATTTTTTTTCGAAATAAAAGGGGGGTGGTGCGCACCCCCGCACACACCCCCTCTGTATCCGCCCATGTATTCAATCATCTTTCTTAAAATCATCAAAACACGAATGTTGTTGTCAAGGCCCACATATCCCACAAACCTTAGCGTAAAAACGTTTAATATGAAGTGCCTTATATTTGACTTGTAGTGGTGTTCAATTACTGTACGTAATTACATCGTGCGGATATTTGTTACCGTATTGCTTTAAAGGCAGCAAGATTAAACTCATGAATGAGGCATTAGGCAACAAACACATTTTTATGCAAGTTGTCTCGGATGCTGCCGGTAAAGCGGGGCATTGTACCCTTTTATGGTGTCATCACTGATTTTAAGTGATCCATTCATATGTATTTTCAACACTATTTTGCCTTTTCTACGCGGGTAATCGTGACTGGTTATTCTCCGGAGTTGACGTTATATAATTACTTGCAACCTGTACATTGCATAATTGTGTGTGTGTGTGTGTGTGGGGGGGGGGGGGGGGGGGGTTGCGGCTCATTGTACTCTCTGTTTTGTTTGTTTGTGATGAATGGTAGTTGTTTTTTTGTCGTTTTTTAATATTGTAATCGTGTGCTAGATCACGTCCGAATCAAGTCCATCATTAATCTTAGTATTTCCTTCGAACAGGCCATTGCCGGGAATATATGTTGATATTTGAATGTCAAAAAACAGATTTGTGCGAAATAGATCAAGCTAGTTAACTGCTGCTTTTGTCGTATCATGATTGATGCTGTCAGGAAATCCCATCACAAATTCCCCAGTTATTACACACACACAAGAGTGTTTCATTTCTGGTACAGAAACCTAAATTTCTTGATATCTTAAACGAACAAACTATTAACCTTCTGGCAAAAACAAGACTACACCCATGTTTGATGGTGGCTACAAATGAAACATACAAGAAATGTTTATGCGATGGTGATGTATTTGATACGGGTATCATAGTTGTGTTTTAGACCTACGTTTGCATTGTTTCGGCGACTGTTTTCAGGCTAGTAACGTTATGATAAAGTTTGTAATTTTTTGGTCAAATCCCATTTTCAAGTATATCCTTCCTTTTCCCCGGTATAATAGTTGTCTGACAATGCGCCCCAAACTGTGCAACTTGAAAACACATTAACGACAGCCTTTGACCGTTCCCTTCAGATGGTGGTGTTATATTTCTCTTATGTTATCAACATGCAGTATTGAAAATAGAAAAATAGCTGTTTAGCTATAAACCATTATGGGATTTTTTTACTTGTAATAGAAAAACTTTGTAAATAATATGGAAAGAAAGGTGATCAACGCAGAAATTCAGATAAATAAATGAAATCACTTTGAGTCTCATTTAGTATTTGGATAAATAAATAAATAAATAAATAAATAAATAAATAAATAAATAAATAAATAAATAAATAAATAAATAAATAAATAAATAAATAAATAAATAAATAAATAAATAAATAAATAAATAAATAAATAAATAAATAAATAAATAAATAAATAAATAAATAAATAAATTCTGATTTTAATTAAAACAACAAGGATTTCATACATTGATGCATTGTTTTTCAACCTACCTAACATTTAGTCAGATATTTGATTATTTCCCCATTTATTGACTAACACACCCAATTATATGGTGCATTATGTCATATAATACCTGATAGTTAGATACGGCCTTAAGCTATAAAACAGTTTGATTTATGTTATCTATTAATTTGTTTGCATTATTTTTGTATACAGGTAGCCCAATCCGAAGGTAAATAGTTGATTAGTTTGAAATATATGATACTATAAGTACCAATCAATTTAAACTATATTTTTAGGGTTCTTAAAATATTTCAGATTCCCTGTTTCTGTACATAGAACTTGCATATACTTGATCTCAGTGTTGTGCAATTTAATAATATATTTGCATACAAGATATATATTCTAAATTGTATAAATTTAAAACTTCATTAATGTAATTAATTCAACCATATCTTAGATTCCGTGCTCCATGAAACTCAAGTCAACAGTAATTTTCAACTTCTGTACTCATACACTGCGCTTTTTCTGTTATATATTTAAGAAGGGACTTTCTCCATACGGAATTTGAGTGTATAGTTAAAGTCTACTGGAGGCAGTCTGTAGGTACACACCTCGTTATTGTCATACAGTGGCAAAAGCCAACCATATATATATATATATATATTCTTTATTCCTCCATAGGAGAATTATAAACATATAAATACAGTATTTACAAGTGTACGTAAACAGACATTCTTATGTTAAGTCTATCCCTGCTCACATGTCAGAACATATAATGTTTCTTCACAAGGTATATATATTTCTTCAATTGGAAGAGACCTTTGACTGCAGCTTTTGCAAAGCTCTCTACCGTCTCTGGATTTGCTGGGATCGAGGGGCGTGCATGCTAGGAGACGGCAAACTAACTCAATTTCCTGCTTGTTATGGAGAGCCACGCTGACTTCCACTGGACAAGTGTCGACTATGCTACACCACAAATTGTCTCTGAGTTGCTCTGCCTGTGGACATATACACACAACATGAACGAGCAAGTCCTGGTGGGCAAACTTACACATGTCACACACACCCTGAACTTTCCCAGGTCTCCAGGCTGCGCACAAGTGGATCACGAAGGTTGCAGCTTGTTTCAGATCTGGATTTCTTCTAGCAATTTGCCATGCTTTGTGAGGGCAGATAACCGGATGAATTTGTTTAAAATGCATTAGGTCAGGATCAGAGTTTATGCGTCTTCTCCATGCTTCAAGATCATTCGCTTTAATGGCATCTTTCACAACTTTCATCCAGGTATGACAGCTGGGGAATGTACCATTGGTACTAAAGCTGCTCAGGAATTGCTCAAGATTTTACTTAGCCATAATACGTTTAATGTCAGGAACATAACCCAGGGAAGTGGTAGCGCAATAGTAATTTGAGAGGGAGAGCCTAGTACTGAAAATTCTTCTCGTAAGGAACGTTATTCTGCTATTGTATAGGTTCCCTTGAAACAGAAGTTTTCTCTTGTCTATTTCAAATTCCAAGGGGGTCCATCCAAGTAGGGCATTACAAATATCAGTCCGTGTGCTTCGAGGGAGACCTTGTGCAATTTTTAATGCAGCTCTCTGGGCACGCTCTAAAGATAACAGTTCAGCTTTTCTTAAGCCACACCACAATTCACTTCCATACAGGGCTCTTGGTACACAGACGCTCTTTAAGATGTTGGAACTCACCAGAGGGTTCAGTCCTCTTACGTGGACTCCTGTTCTTAACAGGGCCATTGTGGTAGACCTCATCTTTAAGCAGGCATCTAAAGTCCGTTCCCAGGAGCTGTATTCCGAGTCAAGTAAAATTCCAACATGTTTAATTTCTCCTGTAGTAGGGATTTTTTGGCCATACAATGTTATATTGATGTTAGCAGCACTTGATGGGCCAAAGGTCTAGGGCTTGAATACTATTTTACAAGAGCATATATAGTTCATAAAACAATGGATACAGTAAATACATATTTTTTTCAGGATCTGGAAGTGGTGTAACGGGGCCAACATTTAATATTTAGTTAGTTTCAACATATTCTATTGACAAAACAATCGGATTGAACAAAAGTGATCCACTTACGAGATCCTCTCCTTATTGGAATATCAAGATATTAGCATCAGTGGAATTTAAAAAACAGTATCAAATATTCGCGGTGACATTGCTGGAATATTGCCCAAGGCCGCGTGAAACCATACTCACTCACTCACTCACTCACTCACTCAAACTCAAATACGTCAAATATGTACAATGTACAGTGCAACTAATATTTCACATTTGATAGCTAAAAGGCGTGCCGAGGGGAGTGCCTATCTATACTAAATAAATGCATTACCTGTTAAAAAATGGTAATAAAACCATCAGTAGAAATATAAAAATGGGAGTTCAAATGTATAATTACAGTAAAAGATATGGTTATTGGAATAGTTTGGTTGCTATTATGTATTTCTGAACCAGACTTAAAAATCGCGGTACCATGTAATGATTCCTTATCACCCAAAGGTTTGTTTTTTCTAAATTTGAAAGAATTCCTTCACGCGCTTTGTCTTTAAACAGTTTGCCCGTGTAGTGAGTTATTTGTACATTCAAGGACATTTACAAATGCATGAAATTTGATCAGGTTTGTTTACTCGGTATGAATCAGTATTGCAGTAACGACACTAATGTCTGGGTCATGAATGTAACATATTAACTGCTCTCTCCCCACAGTCGTAGTATTTGGGAACTTCTATTGATTTCAAATTTATTGCGTTTATGAATGTTGCAATAATGTTATTACTTTCACTTCATTATAAAAAGTCTGCAAGGGACATAACACACTGGGAATAAGAAGTTTTTGAAAGTTGTTGTGCAGGCGAAAAGTATAACTATCATGTTATTTCCATGACGAATATTATATCTAGAAACCCAAACATTTTCATAATCTATAAATCTCCACGTCGAGTCGATTGTGATTGAGTGAGCATCGCCATTATTTCAGCGATATAGCGACCACAGTCATTTGTACGATTCCGACAATACGTGTTTATAAAGCTCTACCAAATAGTGACGATGCCAGGTGTATGCGAAAAGGTGAGCGCATCCTGCCCCGGCGCTGGCACCCGTTACAAACACATGCAAAGGCAAGTCAGTTGTTCACCAGACAAAACACGGAACATATGGCACACGTGCAAAATAGGGAATTGCATTGGACATTATATTTGTCACTGATGCGTCAAACTAGGTAAAGTCGCCCACATGTCTACATCATAAAACCTTTGAAAGCTTTACTGTGCCCTTGCTAAAACAACTTTTGAGAGTCGTATGAGGTTTTTCGTTCAAAGATCATGCTTGATTGTTTTGAAATGTAAACACCAAAGTCTGGAGCTTCTGGAATTTTGCTCGACATAAAGGGAAAGTCATATAGAAGTCATCCCTTTTCTCATACAGCCTTGTAGAGTGTATTTGTATTTCGGAATCGTTATAAATAGATCCAAATATGAAACAGATGAGGCGGTTTCACTGGTTTCTTATATTTCTAGTTTAAGCGGGTAAAGTGACTTCAGTGAAAGGGAATTGGCTATCTGACCGTTATTGAACGCTATACCTACAGCTTAAGCCAAATTCCCTTGGATTGATTTTGCCAATCTGTGCAGAAATTTCGATTTATATGAGAGATCAGCAAGGAAGGGGCATACTTTGTGCCAGTGGTGATGGGTGCTATTGTCAAATGTCTTATCCCCAAATTTTGTATTGATGTTGTCAATGAGGAAGTCCAGCATTTCACATAATGTTTTCTCAGTAAACTTCAGATGACATTTGCTTCCATTTTAATTCCGCAACGCGTTTTAAAGAACACCTTCCGTCCGTGCGTCCGTGTAAGATGTCGTTTCCGGAGCAGATGTTGAAAACCGTTCAATATTTCTTCACAATATTTGGCACATTGATAGGTCTGGCGGTGAAGTGGTGCGTTTTGATAGTTTGGGATTTTTTAAAAGATATATTTCGAGTTTCCATGGCAACAATTTTGACTTAGGTTGGAAATGACGGTTGTGCTCGTTTCCGGGGCAGATCTTTGAAACCGCACACTATTTCTTCACCAAACTTAGTCCATTGATAGGCCTAGTGTTGAACTGGTGCTTTTCGAACGATATTTTTCTTGTTTCCATGGCAATATCTTTGACATAGTGACTGAAAATGGGGGTAGTTATTGTTTCCGGAGCAGATCGTGACAACCGTACAATAGTATTGCATCAACCTTGGCACAGAGATAGATCCAGTGGTAAACTGGTGCCTTTTGATAGTTTAGGAATTTTTAAACAATAAGTTTGGTCCATAGCAACACGTTTCATATATTTATCCCGCGCAATATTTACAATTGCGGGATATATCGATGACTTTGTCCTCTTGTTGACAAATTGTCCTGCAGATAGAGAGGTAACTAAGTCTATGGTCACCACGTTTAGTAACAAATGCCCTTTGGATCAAAGAATGAACTTTTCTTGTCAGTTTGTCATGTGGGATAGTGTTGTACAGAGTTGAAATATCAAAAGTACCTGAACCTGGGTCTTTTCAGAGATTGCAAAAATTCAAGCGTCCACATGGTATTCATTCCACTTGCCTCGAACAGATTCTGTAAGTTCTTCCTTGGATTATGAGTATTCTTTCAGACAGGGATTTACACAACAGACGTAATTCAAAAGTTACATATCGTTTTTAGTTTCAATAGTCATAGCCTTGGTCACGGTACGGTTGATTGACGGTTGGAGTCAGTAAATACGCAATCGTATCACTGGGTTGTCTGGTCCTTCGGCGTGGCTTGGCAGGAGTACTGCTGTACTGACGTCAGGCCAAAAAATCTTACTTCTTTAACATTGTGTGAGTCGCGGGTGCTATACCGGTAGGGAAGGACTTGCTCCCCACTTTCGTGAACACCTGGTGTCATCACTGATTTTCGGTGGTCCATTCATATGTTTTTCACCGCTGTTTTGTGTGTTGCGCCCGGTTGAATTTGTTTTGGCGAATAGTCAAAAGTGGTTGTTCTCTGGTGTTGACGTTATATAGTCTATCTATTATTTCTCGTCTTCACATTATCCTTCTCATGGACCTTTATGTATGACAAGTGCAGATAATACATTAAATTTAATTTTTTAGCGATGATGGATACCCTACCTGTGTTTAAAATACACTTAAAATTGTAATTATAAATCAGTTGTTTTCGGTCTGACCAGACAAGTTTGGCAGCCTGAAAATAACAGAGGACCTCATCAAGAGAATTGAACGTGTGACAGGGAAGAAACCACACCGCTTCCTCACCAGGGAAATCTTCTTCTCACACAGGTATAGCATTTTAAATATTATTATGATTATAATTGTGATTAGGATTATCAGCACCACCATCATCATCTTCATCGCCATCAGCATCACCATAACGATGGCAAAATACAATATTTGTCATTCTGAAAAAAGAGCTACACTTTTTACCTGGAACACCGGATGAATGAACTCATATACACTTAATACTGTTCTCAAAGATCACCCTAAATTCTAGCGTTTATGTCAATTGAATATAACGTGATTACTTATGTAAATAAGTGAATGTTGATGTACCTGACTGGTCCCGATGGATTGGTTTGTATTTGAACGACAACACGCCATGATGTTGTCCATCAGTAACGTCCTGTGTCCTACACAGAGAGCTGGGCCAAGTCCTGGACATGTATGAGAAGAAGCAGCCGTTCTACCTGTACACTGGCCGCGGACCGTCATCAGAGGCCATGCACCTGGGCCATCTCATACCATTCATCTTCACTAAGTGAGTCAATAATACATGTTGATATAATACGATGACACAGAGGAACCTCATACTATTTATCTTCACTAAATGAAGCCAAACACCTGGGTCATCTTACACCCATCTCGAGGCTATTGTGTTAAGTGACTATAAAATCCAGTTTCCACCCTTGCCGAACGAGGCTTGCATTATGGAGTTGTGTTTTGGCTGGACTAACGAGTCTGTGCATAGTCCAATCAAAATTGCGTAACGATGTCGACATCTGGTTCGTCAACTGCCACAACTGCAAAGCATGTTTACCGCCAACTCGACGTCAACAGATATTTTTTTCTAATCATTTTATGTTTTTATTCAAGGTGCTCACATGATTTAATGCACTTCGCGAATTATTTATTACAATATACTTTTTCAATTATCGATCAGATCGTCTTGACTGGGCGCTGCCATTTTGTTTGAATTTAATTGATATGGGAGTTGGAATCTGATTGTCAATAGGAAGGACATAGAAGGGACATAACTCGTAACAGCCACTGGTGGCGCTACGATCGAGCCCAGAAATTCCAGCCAAGTTCGACAAGTGTGTAAACTGGACTTTTATAGTCAGTTAACGCCCTTGCCCTGGGAAGATGTCTTATAGCATTCATCTTCCCGTTGTGAGTCAATAATACCCGATGACATAGTACGACGAGTGAGTGAGTGAATTTGATTTACCGCCGCTTTGAACCTACTTCCAGTTATATCACCACGTGTCAGCTTGATGTGGGAGGAAAGCCCGAACAGTTTACAACTTTGGTGAAACCCTTGGGTATGGTGCCGACAAACCTAGAAACGTAATTAGGGCGAACCGGGATTCGAACCCACAATCAAAGGTCTTTGTAATGCCCACGTGACGCGAATAGCAGCGCCTTAGACGAGCGGGCCACCCGTGCTCCCGACGACAGAGGGAAACCTTATGCCATTCATCTTCAGTACTAAGATGTTATATTACCTTGGGATATAGAATGTTTTACAATTAAGTCATGCATCTTCACTGAGTGAATCAATACCTACAGATATTATATTACCATGGGATATAGAACCTTTTACAATTAAGTCATACATCTTCACTGAGTGAATCAATACTTAAAGATATTATATACCTTTGGATACAGAATCTTTGAAATTAAGTCATGCATCTTCACTGAGTGAATCAATACCAACAGATATTATATTACCATGGGATACAGAACCTTTTAAATTAAGTCATGCATCTTCACTGAGTGAATCAATACTTAAAGGTCACCATTGTGCCATTCATCTTCACAGAGGGAAACAATCTGTCAGTGGTCGAATCAGAACTAACATATGCTTGTATGCGCATACTGTTACAGTAAACTACGTTTATAACGCTTATAATAAACTAACGGATATAACGAACTGTTTTAGGTCCCGGACATTTGCTGTATAATTTAGATGAAATGCTTATAACGAACTACATTTATAACGAAATAGTGGTCCCTTGGAGTTCGTTATAACCGTAGTGAACTATGTTTATATGCGTCAAATTAACTGATACAATAGTTGTGTTGACATAGGAGATATATGGAATAGCTGAATGGGCAATATTTCAGATGGCTACAGGATACGTTCGACGTTCCGTTGGTGATCCAGATGACGGATGACGAGAAGTTCCTGTGGAGGGACCTGGAACTTGAGGAGGCACATCGCCTCGCGCATGAGAACGCCAAGGACATCATCGCTTGTGGATTTGATCTTGACAAGACCTTCATCTTCAGTGACCTTGAATATATTGGGTAAATCTTGATTGTTTATCGCCTACCACAATGGTGACAGTACCATGCTGGGGTAGTTTGTTTGTTATATATATACTAATATATCTGTTGATGTGCTGATCACATAGTGGAAACAACACATTCCGAGCAGCGTTGTGAAACATTTTCCCGACCAAATGAATAACCACCAACTAGGTTAAACTGTTTTTGTAGGTTGGTTGGTTTAGACGTCTCCATCAATGTACAACAGTGTCAAAATATCCTAGCTTCAGTTTTGAAAATCAGTTATATCCAAGGTCAAGTTTCTATTGTTCGTTTAGAGGCTCCATCGAGTTCTACAAGAACATTTGTCGTGTGGAAAAGCTGGTGACGGTCAATCAAGCCAAGGGAATATTTGGCTTCACAGACAGCGACTGTATCGGTCAGATCAGTTTCCCGGCCATCCAGGCGGCGCCCAGCTTCAGCTCCTCTTTCCCACAGATCTTCAACGGAAGGAGTGACGTTCCCTGCCTCATCCCCTGTGCAATAGATCAGGTAGGTGACAATTAAACCTACCAGATCATAATCTATTAGTTCACCATAAGTTTGAGAACTAACTCGAAAGAACCTCGTGTGTCACAGCAAATGGAATCTATTTACAAACCTACAGGACCCGTATTTCCGGATGACACGTGACGTAGCGCCCCGGATGAAATGCCACAAACCAGCCCTGGTTCACTCCGTTTTCTTTCCGGCTCTGAAGGGGGCTAAGGGGAAGATGAGTGCCAGCGACCCAACATCATCTATCTTCCTAACTGACTCTGACACGGAGATTGCCGAAAAGGTTAGTCGCCATTTGAACGTATATTTCAGGAGAGACTACACGTGATAAAAGCTAAGCAGTTTAAATGTTCGTAATTCATGCAACTGAAAGGAAAGGCGCCCACATTATTTAAAGGGGAAGTGTACACGCAAAAATCACTTTCTTTCTTTTTCTAAACAAAACGCAATTTTAGAATTAATTAGTATCTGTGTTTGAAAATATACACTCATTTTTTTCACAGTGAACGTAGGAAGCTCACAATAGTGTGAAAATGTCATGCCGTTATGAGGCCTTCGTTTTTCGAGCTAAACAGGCCTGAGTTATCCCCCTTAGATTATGGCGTAATTGGTGCCAATTCAACTGGGTCCCTGTCTATTCTCAACGCAAAAGATATCAAGTACCAGTTTGCGGTAAAACAACATGGCCTACGACACACTCCGGCGCAGTGGTGACTCAGCATAACACTATGCTGGCTGGCATCTGAGACGCTAGAATCACACACCTGGACCTACACCACGTGAAGCGGCTCTAACAAAGCATGATGACGTCATAATGTTTATCTATTGGCACCAATGACGTCATATTGCAAGGGGCATAAGCCATGGTGTTTTTGTTGTGGAAATAGAACACTTGGTAAATGTGAAAAATATAAATCGTTTTAATGCGAAAAATATGTTAATTAATTGTCATATTTTTATATTTTTGTCTATGACACTTCTAGGTTAACACTTTTAATGTGGAAAAAGTACAAGAAAAATAGGTTCATTTCCGTGTGAACTTGCCCTTTAACGTTTTTTCTTTGCAGGTTAAAAAGTACGCATTTTCAGGCGGCAGGGACACAAAAGAGGATCAGGAAAAACATGGTGGTGACTGTTCCATTGATGTGTCCTACCAGTACCTCAGGTTCTTCCTGGATGATGATGCTAAACTGAAGGCTATCGAAGAGGTGAGTACGACAGTTGTGTGGGTGAGAATGCTACAACTGATTGGGTTGTGTCATAGGTAAACTGAAAACATGTGTTTCACCTGACACAGTGTAATTGAAGGTGATTTATTTCTGGTCTCAGTGTTCACGTAGCTATCTATCTTTCGAGGTGGGGTGAGGTGAAATGGGGTTTAACGTCGCGTCCAAGATTATTGCACCTATATAGCGACGTGCATGCACGTGTGTGTGTGTGTGGTTGTTTGTTTGTGTGTGTGTCTGCTTGTATTAGTCCGGACTGATGTCGATTTATAGTGCTAGCAAACTGAGATACCATGAATACTCCACTCAGACACACTATACTGACTCCGAGCCGACCAGTCCTTGCTTTAGTACCTTAATGTCAACGCCAGACAGGGTAACAACAAGTACCATTTTAAAACGTCTTTTGGTATGAAGCGGCCGGGGATCGAAACCTGAACCTTCCGCGCTCCGGGCGGACGCTCTACCACCAGACCACGGAGGCGGTCCTGCCTTCCGAAATTGACTTACCTTAAAAAGAAAGCTCGAAATTTCAGTCCTGGGAATAGGGTTTTGGTGTTGTTACCCATTCGTAGTTAGATTCGGGCTAGATACCAGTGTCATTATGTGATTGATAAGAAAATTGTCCAACATCAAAATAAAACGGTTTTGTCATTTGAACATGATAAAGGAATATCATGACATGTCACCATAGGTAATTGCTAATGTCTTTCGTGTCGAATCTGTATTAGATTAGGACAATTCAGGCAATTCTTTACAAAGCGTAAAAGTAAGATTTTGAGAAAACATTTTAGGTAAGAATTGATGCAAGCGACATCGGTGCTGGCGGTGTGTTCGATCAGTCTTTCTGTTACTTCACGCACACACAAATACACAAAATTGAGAAAGAAATCCTTACTTTGATTGTGTCATTGCAACATTTTGAGGTGTATATGGGAACTACAAAGCATCGTATGAAATAAATATATTACCTACAAAAAAATAAGGGAACTGGTGATTTAATGACGATGAATGTCTGTCAACTTAATTTCGGGCATATAGATCAATACCTGATGTGTCGATACATGCACGACACCTTGATGGCATACTGTTGATTAACTTGCGTATGGCTGCCCTTGGTATTGCTCGCCATTCCGCCTGAAGAGCTACCCAAAGTTGGGCCAGGTTGGCGGGTGCTGGGTCTCTGGCCTGCACTCTCCGTCCGAAAACATCCACAGATGTTCTGTTGGAGACATGTTACAGGACTTAGAGGGCCAGTACAATGTCCGTCTCGTCGGAGATATGGTCTGGCATTTTCATCTTGAAGTTCAAAATTTCTTCCAATAATTCTAGCGAATAGAACAACGACAGGACGGAAAGGGTCGTCAACATATCGCTGGCCATTCAAATGTTCATTCAGAACAACCTGATCAGTTTGCGTGTCCTGTGTGATACTGCCCAGTGCCATGACGCTACCGCCCCCTTGCCGATCATGGTCCAGAATTGTTTCCCTGGCATACGGCTCGCCGCTACGTCGCCAACAACGTTTTCGGTCATCTGTGAATCGGAGGCAAATCCTTGATTCGTCTGTAAACGTGGTGTGACGCAATTGGCACACAGCCCGTCCCTGGTGTCGCCACGCCCACTCCAATCTTTGCCGCCTATGGTAAGTTGTAAGGGTCACAACCTTCACAGGACGCCTTGCTTTCAGGTGGGCTACATGAAGGTAGATGTTGAAATTCACCTTCCTGTAATTGTACGGAATTTTCTATTGATAACAGGAACAGATTTGAATCTTTTGCGTTGTGCAATTAATATAATGAGACGATTTTGTCCTAGAGTCGTTTTTTTAGGCCTGCCACGCCCAGGTCTAATTGCAACCCCACCCGTTTGACGGTACTTGTCGGTACTTTGATGCCTCAAATTTCATTGTGATCAGATGTTGCGTTCAGATGCAACGCCACGGTATTGTACATGTAACCTGAACGATAGCTACATTAAAATCATTGGGTCCCTTATTTTTGTCGGAAGTATATAAAATGTAATTACATAATTAGTAATTAGTAATTGGACCCGTGAAGATTCGGGATAGAATAGGTCCTCAGCAACCCATGCTTGCCGTAAAAGGCGACTATGCTTGTCGTAAGAGGCGACTAACGGGATCGGGTGGTCAGGCTCGCTGACTTGGTTAATGCATGTCATTGTATCCGAATTGCGTAGATCGATGTTCATGATGTAAATCACTGGATTGTCTGGTCCAGATTCGATTATTTACAGACCGCCGTCATAAAGCTGGAATATTGCTGAGTGCGGCGTTTAACAACAAACAAACAAACAAAGCATAGGTGAATGGGTGGACAGAAACATAAATGTTCATAAAACACTTAAACACAACACATATGGGAAACAAGCCCCGAAGTGCAAACTTTTGCCGATGTCTGAGGTTAAGAACGACTCTGTGGTATGGGATCCAACTCGGCGTATAGTTGTTCTATCGACTTAAAATCTGACGGTACTTGCTGACGACTATAGCTGTTACACATGCTGTGTTCGGTCTAGCATTGTCCAGGGGAGCAATGGACGCCTGTAGGAGTTCATCACAACAGCGTTGGGCTGTTAAGTTGCCTGGCTCTAGGTTTGTTATACCGATTAGGGAAAATTCAACATTCCCTCACAATTGAAACAGATAACACAAGCGACCCCTATAGTGGTCAAGAGGGGATACTGCTTTATCGCGAGAAAGCGATGTCCCCTCTCGCCACCATATTAGTCGCCTCTTACGGCAAGCATGGGTGGATGAAGACTTCATGAGTTTTCTGCAATGCAACATATGCGATATGCATTTGCCGTGCCGTTTTTATATTGATATATGAAAGAGGTTGTCAATTTTATTATGGGCTTAAATCTCAACAATCATAACTGGGTAATACTTGAAATGAAGTATCCTCATATAACGCTGTCCCTCTATTACCGAAATGTTATATCCCCATATTGTCGTATCGTGTGACCATATCGTAATACATGTATCGAATGTCGGTTGCGTTGTCGCCATGCGTCATATGATCCTATAAAGCAATATCGTTACATCGTACTGTCGCGATATGGCGTTCGTAATAGACTACGATACGAGGATGTCCCTTCTCGGCCACCATACCCAGCACATGTGTTATTTTCTTATTTGCTTGTTTATTTGGTTGCTATTTTACGCCGCATTATTCCAGCTATATGGCGCTGGTCTGTAAATAATTGAGTCTGAACCAGACAATCCAGTGGTCATCAATTTACGCAATTGGGATAGGATGACATGCATCAACCAAGTCAGCAAGCCTGACCACCCGATCCCGTTAGTCGCCTCTTATGACAAGCACAGTCGCCTTTTACTGCAAGCATGGGTCGCTGTTTACCTATTTTCTACCCGGGTCTTTTCGGGTCGGTTTATTTTTATATCCAATAGTAACTGAAAGACTACGAAAGTTAACTCTGATATTGCAGCGGTACAGCCGTGGGCAGATGATGACTGGAGAGCTGAAACAAGAGCTCATCACAGTCCTTCAGACTCTGGTTGCCGGTCATCGTGGACGACGTGCACAGGTTTCCGACGCCATGGTGGACTACTACATGACGCCCCGGAAACTCAAGTACAACTACACCGCCCCATCTAAACCTCTGGGCACTTGCTGAGGAGAAACGCCAAAGCAGATGGTGAAAGGTCACTGTCACTGAATGCTGAGTTGATATATTTCAGAATATGATTGCTTCAGATTTGCTGCTACATTACTGATGTGAGGCACAACGATCTCGTCTTTTTCTTATAACTTTTAATACATTATTTTATTGTCGAATCAGTCTCAAATAATGTTCAAAATATAAAAATAGAACTCCATTTTCTTCTTTTCATGAAAATAATCCCACTCCCCACCCCTACCAATCTCACTGACCAGCCCACCGACCCACCCCTTTCCCTTTGATATGTGACCAGTCCAATATGAACATTGAGCCGATGGTATATATGAAGCTATTTTAGATAATGTCTTAGACATTTGGCAATGTTTGTATTTCATGCAATGCAATTAAGAACCAATCGTGTTCACGTGCAAATCAAATACTGCTGGTTGACCGATTGCCTACATCCTATTATGATGATGATGATGATGATGATGATGACGATGATGACGATGATGATGAAACATAAAATCAAGCTTACATGGCTGACTATTGCTCCGAGGGACATGTCCCCAGTTCTACTCTCCTTGTTTTGCCCCACGTGCTGCACTAATAAAAACATACGTTCACGTTATGTCGTTATGTTTTAACACTTTATACTTACTCTTTACACAACACTTATTGGCACTTACCGTATTTCCTCGATTAAACGCCCTGGCGATTATTTCTTTCAGACACTCAATTCCGTACATAAATAACACCAAGCTTTTAATCGAGAATCATCGTTTAATCGAGGAAATGCGTATGTTAAACTTTAAATTTTATGGTAGGATACGGCGAGTGTGCGTATGGCAGACAAGATTTCAAGTAAAGTATCCGATATAAACCAAGATAAATTCTGTCAAAATATTTTACTTTTCAAGTTTGTACACGACTCTCCTACACGACAAACTAAAGGGAAACATTCCTTGACATATGGGGCATTTGTCACTAAACGTGGTCACCATAGATATAGTTACATCTCTATCTACAGAGGTTAAGGACAATTGGCAAAAATGAAAACAAATATCATCTGTGAAACTATGTGAAATGCTGGGCTTCCCCTAGATAATATCTCTGTGAAATTTGGGGATAGAGAATTTAGGACAAAAGTAGACATCCCCATGGGCATCAATTGTGCTCCCCTCCTTGTGGATCTGATCTTTATGTATAAAATCAAAACGCAGGAACTGGGCCAAGAAGTTTATTGCAAGATTGAGGTATATCGATAATCTTATATCGATAAAAAATTGTCAGATAGCCAACTGCCTTCCACTGATTTATCCACCTGAAATAGAAATAACAGAGTGAAAGTTTTTTAAAAACTGTAATATCTCCTGCGGGAGCCAGTCATTGATAAAAAATTGTGTTGTTGATCCCCCGTGATTTCAATGTTTGAACACACCCCGGCAATAATAAATCACATTTGTTTGAAGTCTAGTCACAAACCCCCTGTGTATATCAATCGTATCCTACGATATTGGAATCACACGAACTGTTCAGTTCATGTGTGTGCGGCAGTGTGTGTGTTGGTGTGTGGGGCAGTGTGGTACAGTGTGTGCGGCAGTGTGTGTGTTGGTGTGTGGGGCAGTGTGGTACAGTGTGTGTGTGTTAGTGTGTGTGTTGGTGTGTGGGGCAGTGTGGTACAGTGTGTGCGGCAGTGTGTGTGTTGGTGTGTGGTACAGTGTGGTACAGTGTGTGTGTTAGTGTGTGGGACAGTGTGTGCGGCAGTGTGGGACAGTGTGTGCGGCAGTGTGTGTGTTGGTGTGTGGGGCAGTGTGGTACAGTGTGTGTGTTAGTGTGTGGGACAGTGTGTGCGGCAGTGTGGTACAGTGTGTGCGGCAGTGTGTGTGTTGGTGTGTGGGGCAGTGTGGTACAGTGTGTGTGTTAGTGTGTGGGACAGTGTGTGCGGCAGTGTGTGTGTTGGTGTGTGGGGCAGTGTGGTACAGTGTGTGTGTGTGTGTGTGTTAGTGTGTGGTGCAGTGTTTGACAGTGTGTGCGGCAGTGTGTGGTACAGTGTATGGGTCAGTGTGTACTAGATTCCAAAGCTCCATAAAAATCCGTACAGAGAGAGATATATTGCTGGGTCCAGCAAATGTACCACCTTATCCCTATCTCAAAGATTAACAATATTCCTTCATACAACCAAGGAACGATATTCAAAGAAAGCTAGTTTCAGGTCAATTTAAAATTGTTAATATGAAAGCAAATGCCATCTGAAGTTTACTGAGAAAACGATATGTGAAATGCTGCACCTCATTGATTGCATCTATGTAAGATTTTGACGTAAGTTATAGAGGCAAGAAGTAGGCAAGTTTACTTAAGCTTCAGGTATAGCCAATTCCCTTCCACTGATTTACCCACCTGAACTAGAAACAAAAGAGACTAGTGAGACCGCTTCATCTGTTTCACATTTAGATCTCCGCATAAAGATTCAGAGTGGCAAACCACTCTCAACAAGGCTGTATGACAACAGGGATGACATTCCAACAGTCAAATTTCCCTTTATGTCTAGCAATATTCCTGCGGCTTCAGCCCTCGGTGTCTACATTTCACAATTCTAGAGGTACAATCGAGCATGCTCTTTCTTCTAAGATTTCAAAGAGGGTCATGCAACCCTTGGTCAGAAGCTGTTTGATCAAGCTTGCAACATTTAAGACTTCGTTAAAGCTTTCAAAACGTACTATGGCAGACACGGGGGTGACATTTTCAAATTTGACCAAAAATCATGTCTGATGCAATTCCCTATTTTGACTTGTACCATATGATATAGTCGGAATGGTAAAGTCCACTCTGTTGTTGGCAGATATTTGTTATGAATATGGAAAGAGTTTTGTCGCTTTTATAACTATACTTCGTATAAGTCGTGGAAGATCTTTGATGATAGATGAAAATGACAATTTTCGAGATCAAACACGTACGCATCCTATATAAACATTTACATGTCATTGTGAGCTGACATGTGGATAATTCATATATAAACATTTACATGTCATTGTAAGTTGACATGTGGATAATTCATTGAGCAACAAGTGCCCACATTTCCTTCAATACTAAAGGTACAGAAATGGCACATTTTTGTTAATGATGGATATGCCTCTTTGCCAACACTGATATAGAAAAAGAACAGGCCACCCAATAAAAAAGCCAGTTGTCAACGTGATTGTCTTGGAAGGCACATTTCGAACACATTGAGTCACTTGCCCAAGGAGACGCCACATGTGTTACAATAACAACACTAGATTCCTCGGAAACGCTCCGATATCAGTAAAACAATAAATGTCGAGTTGAACATGGGCAATAAATAACGCACACGAGTGTTTGCAAATGTCAATAAAGACTTGATAAGAAAACACCGTGAAGTTTTGTATTTACAAAATTGTTTTTCATTGAAAACATTTTTTTGTTCAGATACTCATCTGTTCTCCAGGGGACACTGTACACAATTAATTGAGCACTAAAAATGACACTTTCATGTGGTTTTCTGTAACAAACCTGGGTTTTTTTTATAGACAAAGAGGGCTTTCACAAAAGAGACGCATATGGGATATATGCTAGAGTGCTACAAGGCTCAATACTTGGCCCTTGTCTTATTTATTGTCTATACAAATAACATTGCCATGATTTAAATTGTATGACAAGACTATTTTGTGGTATTTTGTTTAATATATCAATATAATTTAAACAAATTCCATACCCTTTACTTGTCTCTCAACTCCGTATTAAGTTTAATGGACGTGCATTTTGAAAACGACTGGGTGCTATTTAATAGCCTTCAATATCAAGGGTACATCCAACGAAGTCCGGCTCGATCTATATGTCAGACTATACACAGGTAGGTTTATTGAACGAGACCTTTCTCAAATTTATAATAATGCATGTGAATACGGATATAATTGACACATGATAAGAACTATAACTTGCACACGTCAGTAAGAACTAACTGATTATGCTACTTATTTTTACTTGGGGGCAATATTGAAAACTATGTACATTTAACTAAGCCTTACTGGATTGACATACTGGCTGCAAGGGAAACACTTTATAGAAGACACAAAATTAATTCCGCTCATATTGGAGAGGTACAATCAGATCATCTTTGGTGTTACCATCATTTTCAAAAATTGATTTTATTGTAAGAAACTGATTTGTAAAGAGAATATACACTATCAAAGATCTCTGTAATGACATAAAAGAAAATACAAAATTAAGGGCACAATTATTAACTATTACCAGGTTCTATTAAACATGCCAACATACTAGAAAGATGTTATTAAAAATAATCACATTATGTTACATAATCAATATTTAAATACAATTTTGATAGACTGACTTGTAGCTCCTAAAGGCTTCAGGTATTTTGTATTATTTCTACAGCAATTTTGCCAAAAGTAGGTGAAAATGGGTTACCATTTTCTGACTTAGATATATCATGGAAAGATGTTTTTATCATATACATAAATATGCAAGATGTAAAATTATTTGATTTTCAATTTAAATGTATCGCATCATCTTTACAAAGAACGAACTGTTAAGAATGAAAAATCTCAATAATGATTTATGCTCATTCCGTGAAACTAATACTTAATCCTTACTTCATGTATATTGAGATTGCAAGCGTTGTAGGCAAAAGTTGAATGTGTTCTAAATGGACAATTTACAAAACAATTTACATTTGACAAAATGCTCTGTTTTACTCACTATTTGGAAGTGATTCATCAACGCTTGCTTATATGATATAGTCGGAACCGTACCAAGAACTAAGAAATTTCTTATGATTCTGTAAAGGTTTTTTGTCGCTTTTATAATCTTCTAATTCGTTATTGTGAAGAAACGTATTAGTTAAATAGTTATGTTATCTGAGATATGATTGCGTGGGTCGATGCTCATGATATCAATCACTGGATTGTCTGGTCAGGCTCGATTATTTACAGACCGCCGTCATATAACTGGATAATTTCTGAGTGCGGCGTTAAACAACAAACAATAAATCAACTGAGATATGACTGTAAACCCGCAAAGCTTTGACAATTTAATTGTCGATGGACGTCATCACCGCCAGAGTCAATGCAATACAGGATTGACATTTTTCAGACATTACTGACACTTGACTGGTGCTATGTGCTGAATATTTAGTGTTTCAAAAGTGAGTCAGGAATGCCTACATATATTATGAAGGAAACAAGCCGCCACTCTTCCAGATGTAGGTCCTCTGAGATAAGTACCGAACAAAGGAACTATCTTATTTACTGTGTTAAACAAATGCAATGTGAAACCATACTATGATTCAAACGGAAATGAGAGGAACGTTAATTCTAGCAACCTATGCTGCTTCTCAGGTGTTCAGGATGCTTGGCGCAGCTGGGAGGAACGCAACCTGACCTCCGGGGTTTCATAACAATTACCCACACAATAATTGTAACATCAATACACTTGGGTAATAAAAGCGTGATATTTATTTATTCCAATTATTTCTAAACTTCCACAAAACCATAAAGTGCAATACAGCCTCCCTACCAATATGGTGTGACTAATTTGAAACAGCTTTGGTGTGTTGAGGACGAATTTGTGAAAACGTTTTTACTTACAATGGTT